CAGGCGTTATGATAGGTATCATTAGCCCTTTAGTTGACTTCGGGCTTCACAGAAAGGAAGATGAACATCAAAGTGGTAAAAAGTCGAGAGGGGACAGAACAATGTTTCACAGATGTAAAAGAGATAGACAGACAGACACAAAGGTATAAAAAAGGTAAGGTGAATACTGTGGAAGAAATCGAATATGACAAGCAGTGGGGTGATGGTAGGTTTGAAGTCAGAAGTCAACTGCCGGTTAGTAGACTTTTTTGCCGTATGAGTATATGTTGCCCAGGGTGTACCACGTGGAGGTAAGTCTATCGCACACCCCTTGATTATTATTGTTATTATTATTCATGTTAGTCCCTGCTGTTGATTTTTATTCTTCTTTTCTCTTTTGTACGTGATAGATATTAAACATTACCTTTGTCAAACTTTCTTAGCGAAACTCATCAGCTTATAGATGACATCCAGACAAGGGGAATACCTCCTATGAGTTTGTAGAATTAGGGTTTCTTCCGTAAAGTAAGATCCAATTTTTATCTCATTATAGATAATATTGATTAGGATGTATCAATTTACATCAACTCAGCGTCGACCATTTTTGTCCCCCTCCCCTCCTCTATTTAACTGTGTTCATTAAAAATAACTTTATTAAATTTCAAACTGAAAATACCAGTAGAACATGTTAATATGTGGTTATTAATATCACATTTAGGTAGAGGAGAGGAATGTGCAATTAGGGTATTTACATCCAGACAATTGGGGGGTGGGGGGTTGCTACCTCAGCATTTGACCGTGTTCTCCTCTTCTCTTGAGATGTCATGGTGGTTAAAAGTTAGAATTTCTATATTTTTTTCTCCCAATACTTCGATAGTCGCCTTATAAGCACATTTTCCATTATCGGTGATTTAATTAGATTTCTATTGCATTCCAAATGTTAACTTTCGCTCGTGCTTACGTACTATTTACCTTTCGCAGATTATGTTACAATATTTGCCAATGAATAAGGGAAGAAGCCGCCTGATTCAGATATTGAAGCCGACATTGTCATGACGATTACATCCTCTTTTTGTCCCTAGAGTTCTCATTTCTCGGGAGTCTTTGTTTTTTTTTGTCTCTCTATTAAGTTTTAGACTTTGCTTTTCAATAGCGAAGATTGCTGTTCACTGCTTCCATAATCTCATTTAGTTCAAATCTCTCACATTTGAGAAGAAAATTTCCCCCTAAATTGGCCAAGTAAATAAAGCCTTGGGCAGTCGTGGTATCACGCCCATCACTTTAATGCAACTGGGTTTTCTTGCTGGAATGCAGGGTGGTGGAAGTAATTTACGTTAATTGAAGGTATCACAACTCATTATATAGTTCGCTCATGATTATTATTATTTCAAATGGCAGGCTTTATGATATTTATAATTAGCCCTGAAACTTTGACTTCAGCTTTCCCCATGGGTGGGGGGGGGGGGGGGGGGGGTACGTATATAGCAGTTCATTAGCTGTCTTCTTTCTTCCCAGTATCTCTGGGTTTCCGTTGTTGTCTCTAGGGCTGGACACCGAATCAGGTGGGTCTTCTCCATTTTCTCCTGTAGGTTACACAGGGGGCATGTGGGTTAAGTGTATACTCCCAATCTGTGAAGGTGTTTTGTCAGGCAATCGTATCCGGTACGTAGTCTAAACTCAGCAACAGCTTCTATTCTTGGCCAGTTGGCTATGTCGGAGAGTGCCACTGTCCACTGTTTCTCCTTTGTTCGAGCTTTAAGTTCGTTGCAACTTGAGATCTTGAATTCTCTCCTGATTAAGGCCTTCATTGTATGGAAAGACATCGGCAGAGTTCGCTCATGATTAATTCCGGTAAGTTGATCAAGAGATTACTTATGGCTTTTTGATATAAGAGTATGAAGGCTATGAAACTCGAAAAATTAATTGATCTCTCTTGGAGAAGTTCGCTTTTTTCTACCGCTAAACTACTTCAAGCCTTCGTGTGAAGTACGTAAATCCAAAAAATGCAAATTTAAAGTCATCCTTGAACACTCTAAAATACTTCAATTATTTTAGATTTTAGAGAAGAAGGGATACGGCTAAGAAACAATTACTTTCATTGGAAAAATTGTAAAAGTTCATCCTTTTTTCTTTCAACAACGCTACCATAGACGACTTTGATTAGTGCCTTTTAGGTAATTCTAGTATGTAAAGGGATATACGTCTTGGTTTTGGATGATGGGATTTGGAATTTGATCGTTTATCGTTTATTCTCTAACTCTGCCCTCTATTCCTCTGGCTAATACTCGTTTCACTATCCCTTTTTATTTTTCCCCCAGGCCTTCCCTTGGTCTCCAACAAGTTCAAACGACACTCTGCCTTCAATTTTCAAGGATATCGCTTCTGATTTGGCCTGTGGTTTTACAGGGCTTGCAGAATCGTTTAGACGCAAAACTGGCGCTCTTAATAACCCCCTTTTTGAGGTCCAATGCTTCGCCAATCTGAAAATCACTGACGACAAGTAGTCCCTATTCTACTAAGTTATAGCTGGTCCCAGCTTCTTCCAAATATATTAGTCTCTTTTTGGATTAAATAAAACTCAACTTTCTATTACTATTGTCCCTTTTGATTGTGTGTGTGTATGTGTTTGAAACAGTTTCCCTGACTTTAAAATAATGCTTGTTCTTTCATTTTTTAGATTATATTTTGGTCTTGATTTTATGGATACCTCGGAAAATTCCGGTAGTTCGTATTCCAATCAACCCGATTCAACAACAACTCATAGAGGTACTGCAAGCAATGAAGATGGAAATCGAAAGGAGGATGAGGCGGGACCCTCTTCCTCTTCTGCAGATCATCACCAAGCCCCTTCAAGCTCTACAAGTGGAAATTTTGAGTGTAATATTTGCTTGGAGCAGGCGACAGATGCTGTAGTGTCACGATGTGGTCATCTATTCTGTTGGCCGTGTCTACATCAGTGGATGGAAGTGAAGAAAACTCTGGCTGTCTGCCCAGTTTGTAAAGCCGCCATTAGTCGAGACTCGGTGAGTGAACAGGTGGTTTGATTGTAATTAAGTCAGAAGATATAGAAGTAGGCAGTGCCTGGCTGTCCCTTGAAAGATATTGATTTCGGGGGCTGCCGGACAATCAATGGGTAAAATGTTTTAATTGCCACCATCAAGATTTGCGGTTTATTTTGGAAGGACCTATTGACACTCACAAACCGACTGCCTATTTTCTATTTATAATTGCATATGATTTTGGTGATGTTCTTTCAGTCGCTTCGGCTCGATTGATTTATTTACTTCTCCGTTGTCTATTGTGTCTCGTTTATCCATTACAATTAACACATTAGAATACAATATCATCTTATTAAGACGCGGTTTTTTTCAGCACCAAATTCGTAAAAAATTGAACCACTTTAGGTTTCGTCGCAATAAATTGCGTTCTTCCAATTTACTAATTCATCTCTCTCCATGCGGAAATTGAAGGTATGTTTGTAGGTCTCGTGTTTAGTGAGAAAGTATAATTACGTTTTATGGGGGCCAGTTATAAGTGCCTAAATTTCGTCTCTAAACAGTTTGCTTTACTACCATTTTGGTTATTGTATGGAGTTAAAGCACGTGTAATTCAAGGTACTTTCGCAGTTTCTATCCATTATCAATGCGAGGACATTGTGGGGAAACGATAATTGCGAGGGCCTTTGTTTATCAATAAATTACTTAGAGACTGGGGGGGGGTTAGAAATGCTCAAGGTCGTGAAGATTAATTGAATAAATGGATGGCGCCTATGTCAACAGCTAAGGTATGCGGGCATACCTGTGTGCGTTAGTGGCACGCTGTTAAGCTTTTTCGTCTGCGAAGTTTGAGGTCATGGCTTCGGTGCGCATCCATTAGGAGGCATGGCCAAACCCCATGGATAATCTGTTTAATAAGGATGTGACAAAATGCTGTTCTCTCATTTGGTAGACTTTATGTGATATTGCTTCAGTCCAAGGTGGGTGTTAGAAAAAGCGCTTTCCTCTGTTGGCATGAGAATTATGCCTGCTTCTAGTGGCAGTTAAATGGATGTATAGGGGCAATGCCAATTTGAGAAATTTTGAAGGGAATTTAACAGCATGCTGAGTGAGGTGTCAAGAAAGTTGTTAAATACTCCAATTGTATAGTAACTGCCTGAAAATCCATGTTATCTCTGTAGGAAGTTGTTATCTCCTTGGAATATGAATTGACACCTTGAAGACGTGGATTCCGGAATTATGGGCTATTAATTTTTAGGCGTTATGGTCTTCAAGTTTTGACCCGTTTTCAATCCTAGTTCAGTTTATGACTCGGTGTACTTTCTTGAGGGTGAATATTTAATGTGTGGTCTTCAATTCCAAGTATCCGATTTCAACCTTTATTTGTCTAGGTTCTATGTGATTTTTCGCCATTCATGTAATTCCAGCAAATGTGCCCAACATACTTACAAAAATTGTAGTAAGGCGATTGGAAGGAAAGACAATTCCTTATATTTCCCCCATTTACTTTTATTTAAATAAACATCGTTCACACAGTAAAAGTGGGGATAACGTAAATGCAATGTTAATGTCGTCGTGGAAAAAAAGTATCTGACAATTTGCATACTTTCCTTTTCTCCTTGACAGTCTCTAATTGATAAACCCAGTTGGTAATTATGTTGGTTCTTATTTTGTGCCACGCATTCCAGCTATAATGATGGAAGTGCGGGGAAAGCGGCTAACAGCAAGGATGGCCTCATGGAGTCACTGTCTGCTTAAGATGAGTGGCGAAAAACGCTTTCCTAGTTGGTCTTGGGATGTGCATTCAGTGTTTTTAACAGTCCAAGCATCCTCCTCCTCCCTACCTCTTCTCAACAATTTATATAGTATCGTTTTAACCAAAGATATGTAGTTTTGCTAATTTAATGAATAACTTCTAATCCCCTCTTGGTTGTGAGAAGCGCCGATTTTTTGGAGATAGCAATAGACCAATTCAGTAAACTTGTCGATGGTCTTGAAACCAATTGACTGTGATATTTGTGGATGCTAAGGCAAATTTTACTCGGAATGTAAAAAGGCGACAACCTGTTGTATCCAAAGTTTGTATAAAGTCAGACTTTTTCATTAATTTGACATTTGAAGCTTTTCCTTTACCGTGGATGATAGTAAGTCAGTGAGAGTCGTTAAAGGCTGCGAATGCTTACGTGGTGTCGGAATAGTGACATATGCACACACTTGTCGTTATTGATAAAACTCTGATTTGACACAAATGTGGATAATTTAATACTTTCCTCCTACTTGTGTTCATAACTCAAGGATATGCTAATAATGCGAGCGACTTGCTATTTGTACGACTGGTTTGCGTTGTTCTAAAGATTGTTCGCATTTTATTGATGCCTCCCTTTTTTCGCTTCAGGTTATCCCTCTCTATGGTAGGGGAGCAGATCACAAACAAGATCCTCGCAATAAAGTCCCCCCTAGACCGCAAGGTGTAAGGACAGAACCGGAACGACAAAGAGTGAGTTTTATGATGCCACATCTCTTTTTTGCATTTAATTGCTCGTCGTAATTGGCTAATACTAGATCTAATGCGATTTTTAATTGTTCTATTGATCGCGATCGCTTTTGATGTGTATCTGTAAGTGATAAGTTGTTTAAAATTTTGCACTTATAATTCAGACATTTTGTCTTCCAATGGCGTAATAGGGGCAAAGGCAAGGCTCGAGTACCATATGTGTACGCTCTTTGAATTAGCATAATCGACTGTAATAAACAATGCCATAACAGTAGACGAGTTCCTTAGCCAGAGAATTCTCGAGTTGTCTTCTCTTAGCCATTTGTTTGAAATGTATTTTTTGCATTGCAACATTGTCCTTCCTTACCGGTTGCTGTCTTGTCCATGTGGTATTTTGCTTGATTATCAGACCCGGGAGCGCTCCAATGAGATTTTGGAAGAAAAAGTCGGTATATTTATTAGATTCAGGAAAGGGCAGTAAATTTTTAGTAGTCCGTTTAGCATAGTTTTAGCAAACAGTCTTTAGCCCATGGTCTAAGTAGACGATGTCGTGGAGAAACTAAAAATCTTGTGCTCCTTTCAATATTGACATCTCAAAACTTATAAACTCACTTAGCCTAGCTCTATCGCTAATTGGTTTGGATTAGAATAGGAACCGCCTTGAATCCACTTTTGTTTTGGAACTCATGCTGAAAAGAAATAACTGACGTGGTCGTACAACGAAAGGTGTCAATCTGGAGACCTCTGTGCCACTGGGGTGTTGATTTGTCCAACTTATTTATGTCATTAACTCTATTTGTGTACTACGTACGCGGCAATTCGCGGTTCTGTGCTTCCTACTTTTTTGAGCATCAACTCTGTAAGGGCCTGAACTCTATCATTTCCCTTAGTATTACCTAACTAAGCCCTCTTTGTCGCAGCCATTGCTCATGACTGAAGAGCTTTGTATTTCCCATTCCTTCTACCCTCATTTTGCTCTGTTTATTCATTTCACGCTTGCTCAACTCAACCTCTGATCTTATTCGAGTCAGGTTATAGTTTCGTGTTAGCTTTTCGAGGGCCACTTGTTGTACGTGGCTGGACTCCTAAGGTAGCTTTCCCGCCATTATGCCACTTTATTTGACGTTAATTTACATAAAAATGGAATGGTCATTGTTTATTTAATGGTTTAAATCACATAATCCTGTCTAATTCGTTTTTTTGCAAATTCTAGGAATTCCCCTTTTCTCCATTCAACATTTTCGGTGGAAACACGGATGTTGGAGGTGGTGGTGGTGGTGGAAGCGGTGTTCAGGTATCCTTCGGATTCGCTCCCTTCCCTTTCGGTCTATTTGCAACCTCTTTCAATTTTGGTGGAGGTGGAAATGGAGCCGCAACTAATAATCCTGGCGGACAAAATAACAATCAAGCTGAGGTTGAGGTCCTCTCAAAATTCTTCCTTGCACTTGCAATTTTCTTCATTGTCTGGCTCCTCATGTCTTAGTTGCCAAACTTTTTCCCTCGCCCTTGTTCCCAACCTCCCCCTCACCTTTGTTACACCTAGGTCTTTCCTTACATCCCTCTTTTGCGTGTTTTTTTTCTGTTTAACTCCTGATTTCATTCTCTCTCTTTTTTCCTGCCTTCTTGTATGTTTAATGGGTGCGTAGAATAAATTAAAATTTTGTATCTCATTGGGAATCAACTGTTCTTTTTCTCTTCTGTGTAGTGCTTGTTTGCTTGTTACATTTGCCACACTCTTTATTTACGCCAATTTAACCAACAATAGATTACTTTTCTCGGCTTAAATAGACACCAATTCGCATAGTATTTGTGGCCGATTTTCGATACATTGTTCTATTTATATAACGCGAGCAAATGCTGTTTTATTGAACTTGGTATGGATTATAGGCATATTCATTCATTATTTCTTTGCAAGAATATTCATGAGCGTGAGGTGAAATTTTTTGCAGCTTCAGCAAAGAAACAATCCAAGTATTTATTTCGGATATTCTTCACGCTCTAATATGAATTGCTTAATGGCGCATCAGTATCATTTCCTCCCAAGAAAATCGATTCATCCTAATGAAGTTTGCTTAGTCAGCATATGGCTTCAAATACTTTCGTTCGTCCCGATTGTTTAATAAATCGTTTTCTTTTTCAAAATTCTCTACTCCCCACTCCTTTCCTGCCACGTATAGACTCGATTTTTTTATTCTTGCCTATTTTTAGAAAAGGGAAATGCGAATCCATTTATTTGTTTATTTTCTTTTCTCCATCTCGCCTCTGCGGATTTGGATTTGCGCGCCTCCAAATAGCAAACTTTTCTTTTATTTGTTTCTGTCGCTTTGTACTTATGTCTTGCTTTAATAGGCGATCATTAAAAGTTCTGTTAATTAATGGATTTGGCACGGTAGGTTTTGAGTACTGAACTACAGATATTGTTTTAAGCAAGCAACAATTAACAACTAACCGTGTATTAGGACTCTCTTGATTTTAATTTTACTAACATTGTATTCCGATTGTACTCGAATTGTGTCTGCTGAGACTTAAGATTCTCTTAAATCAAATCATATTTCGTAAATACACTACCCGTAAAAGAAAAGGCTGTTTTTCTGCCGCGATTGACCTCTACAAACCTACATTTTGTCGAAATATTCCATTCTTGCTTAATTCAATTAATTGTGTAACTGTGTCGATTTATTTAACGCTTTCTTTAAATTTTAGAACTTAAATGGTGCGCGTTAAATATCGGTATATCATATCGATTGTGTCTGTGGGTTCACCCAGTTCTGGGGCAGGTACATCACAGGGAGTACAGAATCGAGCCGCTTTTCCCGGGTACTCAATATCCCTTTCGTCGTCAATGACGTCGAATTCAAATAGCAATAGTGAGAACGTACTCTATAGAGCCATCAGACAGTCAGTTCAAACAGCTCACGGCTCGTTTGGAGTGGGTCGAATGATGACCCGATTTAAGATCATCTACTGGAATCCTGTGTCAGGACTCCTTATAATTCGGGTGCTTCGAGGTCTTACTACAGAACAGATGACCTCCGCATTGTCTCTCATAACTTCTGTGCCTGATGGTAAGTAGCAATCTTCACCCCCTATTTAATTCTTATGTTCATATTATTCGAATGTTATTTTTGGAAACTCGCTTTGTAAAATGATATTGTAGGTAACTGGCATAATTGGGTGAAACTAAGTATTCCAGTCGCCAAACCTCGTGTCATTAAAAGCATAACTGAATTGATTCCCAACTATCGCACACCCCATCATTTAGGGGATATAAACAAGTATAGTAGTGCAGTGTTATCATTCATATCTAAACATGAAGCTTGAAGCTCTAGTGCCTTTCAAAAATGTTTATAGGCGTATCTTCACCCTGAGTTTCTTGGCATATTCCTTGATAGTTGGAGTTTTCCTCAAAGCAATTGCCATTAGGGTCTATTACACTTTCAATCCAGTTCCATCACAGAACCCGGATCAGGGCAATTTTATAACTTTATTGGAAGGGGCCTTTGGAGCTGCTTTCATTCAATCCATTAAATGCTTGGTTTTTGTAGTACTGGCACGACGATTAGTGTCTTTCCCCGCAGCACCCAAAGCAAAAACAAAAATTTGCCCATCGTGTTAAGATTTAAGAGAGGGTGGGGTGGGGGGG